TGGTACAGTATTAAGAATGGAAGAATAATACAATAAAATTCCACACTATATTAAGATAGAAAAAGTAGTGAAGAAAATATCATACCTGCACATAATGCATATATAACACAGGAGAAAACCTGTATAAAATTCCATGTATTTAAACCAATTTACAAATACAAAAAATTCTGTCCAAGCTCTGAGCTTGCACGTGACAAACGTTTACAGTGGATACATGTTAGGGAAAACCAAAAAATACCTTCAAATAGTTTTTCTTCTACAAAAATGACATGAGATATATTATTCCATACTCTTTCAGCCAGCAAAATGAGTTCTACAAGGTGTATAATACAAAAAAAAAGGAAAAAGAAAAAAGAAAAAAAAAATCACAGTTCCACAAAACTGTTTTGACTTTACAGCATCAGTACCTTTGCAGAAGTATTTACACAAATTTAAAGAACATTCATCCACTGCGTAGAATATATCACAATTACTTACATTTGACAGGAAAGTCTAGAAAACTTTAGAACCTACCAATAATGCTTCTAGGACACCACAGAATGTATTTCCAGTGGCTGCAGTGGCATGAAAGGTGTTTGTTCTATTCACAAATATTTACAAGATCTATTCAGACTGGTAAATTTTTATGATAATAAATAAGTGAAAATATATTGGCTCAAGTAAGAAAACCAAGCTACTGATTTCTAAACAAAACACACAATCCATAGCTAGATATTGGTGGCCCCCTCTGAGACTGGGGGTATAGGTGTGCTGAAACTTTTTTTTTTTAATTATTCAAACCAGTGTTGAAGGGGGTATAGGTGTGCTGAAACTTTTTTTTTTAATTATTCAAACCAGCTTAAACGGTTTTGTAAATATAAAAATGTGCTCCTTTTTGGATATAGATAAAAATATTTAATGCTTCTATTCATCTGCTCATGTAGGTTTTACAATATTCCATGTATATTCCAATGTGGATGGTACTGAATTCTGATCATACCAGTTTCCATCAGGATTTATCGATCTGAGAGATATCCTGCAGATAAGCTGGTTGACAATCCCACAGCAGTTCTTTTTTTTCTTTTTCTTTTAAAGATTTTTTAAAACAGAGAACAAAGGGATTCGCTCAGAGATCAGAATACAAAACTTCCTCTCAGCATCATGGGAGGAGATAAAATAATTCATTCTATGGTCTCTGTTCCATTAAGACTTGGTGCTTTCTTCAGTAACAGTATGTGAAATGTATCTGACTTCGAGTCCCCACTGTGTAAGTGGAATTATTTTTCACTGCAGCATTTCTGAGTCTTTTTCTTGTTCTTTACTCTGTACTGTAAAATTAAGTTCATAAAGGCATTTGGCAAGGGTGGAGGAAGCTTCCATGTTACTAATGGCTAGCACTGATAAGTTGTTTTCATGTCTCTTTAATAATCTGGAAGAAAACATAGAGGAGGTTGTCAGTCTCTAAGGTTACAGTGATGATTCCTTATCATGGATTTTTAAAGTTTAAAAACGGAAATAGAAACAACACATATAGTTCTACACCAAATAAATGTTAATATAGCATTAAAGGATGAGAGGGAGGCATTTGGGAAGCAACTACTCAGTTGTTGGAAAAGCTGATGTATTTTTTGTTTTCCTATGCAAAAATGTGTCATGATTATTCTGACAACCCAATAGTTTAATCTGCTCAATTTAGAGATGAGTGAATTGGGGCCAACCGAAGGCATCCTAAATTGAACTTGATTTTCCAGCTAGTTGAGGCAGAAATCGGCAACATCTTCCGACATTTGCCTTTTTCATTGTAGCTTTTTAAATATGAAACATTGCACAGCATAATTCTAGTCTTCATTCATGCTTCTAGAGAATTCAAATCATGTCAGAAAACAGCTACAGAGGAACAAAATGGTTGCTTTTAAGAGATGACTTGAGGTCAGCCCCATAAACTAGTGTTAAGAGGAGCTGGATCCCACATGGACAACCATGTGGTTCAAATTCTGGCCCTGAAGGTTTGAAAAAGACACCTGGCACGTGCACATGCATGCCCAAAATACCAACAAGAGAAGAACTGGAGGGAAAAGAATTGCAATGTCACCATGCCCCATGAGAATTTAAAAAAATAAAAATAAAAAATACTGGAAAATAAAATTATATTGTAGTATGATTAAAGTTTCTTTCTAAGGCCAGCCTGTGGCCTGGTGGTCAAAGGAGCTGGATCCCATGTGGGCCTACTTCATAGTTCAAATCCTGGACCTGATGACTTGGAAGACATGCTGGATGCATGAGTCCCCAAGTTTCCAACAGAAGGAAAGAAGGAAAGAATACCTCCATGTGGGGGTATTTTCTGCCTTTCCCTTTTTCTGTCAGTCTGGTGAATGCATATCCCCTCTGGCAAACAAACAAACAAAAAAACCCAGAAACAGAAAAAAATAAAAAAATTAAAAAACCACCTTTCTTTCTTTATTATGTGAAACCAAACCACACCTAGCTTAATAAAATTGGAATGACTCATAGAAAAGCTGTTTTCAGGGCCAGCACATGGTGTAGTGGTTTGGTGCTGGACTCTCATGTGGTAGACTGTTGTTCAGTCCCAGACCTGGAGTTTTGAAAATCACGCTGGGCTCCTGTGTGTAGGTCCCCCAAATCCCAAGAGGAGCATGAAGGAGAAAAGACTGCAACATGGCCATCCCAAAGGGAGCATACCGCTCT